TGGCATGTGGTGCTGGGGGATTGAACCGCGGTCCCTGATGCCTTGCCAAGCTTGTTCTAAGTAGGTGCTTTAGACCACTGAGCCATCTCTCCAGCCCTCAAAACTATGTTATTAAGAGAAAAGAGAGCTATAAAACAGAATGCATATTATGAAGCCTTTTTATGGATACATACATTTTAAAAAGATATTTATATTTGTATATACATTAAGGTTTCCAGAAGGCTAAAGAGTAGTTCACGGTAGCTATTACTGGGAGGTGAAGAGATGGAGACTTGAAAAATTTATTTTACAGCCTTTTGACAATTTCAGTCTTTAAAAATCATGTGTATGTGGTAGTTGCAAGAGTCAAAAGCTAGGTTAAATCGAACTACTTAAATAAATAAACCACAACACCCAGTCTGGTTGTGTCACACGCTGCCTAAAATCCTTCAGTGACGAAGCCCTGAAATGCCCTGGTCCTTGCTGTGGGAGCTCCCTGCTCAGCTTGCTTGTCCCATGAGGCTCTCCGAAGGCCGCCAGATGTTCCCCCCTGTATCAGGACCTCACGTGAGACATGCTGCCTGTGAGTGCCTACTGCTCTAATGTTCGGAGAAGATCTCAAATTTGTATGCACCTTACGTTCTCATAAAAGGTCTTGACTTCCTCATTGTCCGTTTGCTGCTCCTCCAGTAGGGTGTCCCAAAAGGTTTTTTTATAAATATCCATGGCTTTTGATTTTGGTAGGCACATTGATAGAAAGGCATTTGGAAGGGAAACCAAAAGAAAGACATACATTCATGATGTTTACCTTTGCCCTTTGAAAATGCATATCAATGAGACTAAATACATTTATGAAATCACTGTTCAACTTGGGGGTGCTAACACTGCAGGACCAAGGGGGCTGACATAAGGGTGCAAGGGTGTGCTCCTGGTGGGTGTTTTGTGAGTGTCAGTCTATCAAAGTGCTGTTCTGCTGAGTCTGAGGGAGCAAGGGGACGAGCAGGTGGGTCACTGGGGAAGAGCACTCCTGGCTGGGGCCTAGGACACACCAAGCACTGGGTGGCCGCTGGGCCACTAACCCATTGACAAATTACAAGGGAAGGAACATAAAGAAGCACAGTGGGTTAGGAGGCTTCAGTACTAAAAACCCGGACTCTGTTGGGCTCTTCAAGGGATGAGAACTCCCTAGTGGAACTGCCTTTACTGAGCCCAGCCCAGGGCCTTTCTGTCTGCAAACTTCCTACCATAGGCCTGGTGTACTCCCAACAGACCCTGTCATCTGTGAGAAGTCACCAGTGGCCCTTATTTCCACTGGCTCCCGCGCAGGCAAATGCACCACCACCACTGGCACAGGCAAGGCTGTTGCAACCTGATTCCCAAAGAGTGTATGTTCTCTGACTGTCTGCTGTAGGGATGACCACAGGCAGTTCTGCAAAATCCATTTAGGAAAATTCAAGAAGAACCATGAGAATTTCAGGGTTTTCTTGGGAAGCTCCCCATGGGCAGTAGCAGTGAGGAGAAGATGAGCTGGAGAGGCAGGGTCTGAGTGCAGACAGAAATGCCAGGTGCTAGGAGCAGTGGGTGGGCTGCCTTCTGGGGTGGCCCAGTGTGGAGAATGAGCTCCCCCCACCCTATGTGTGACTGGGATATTCGGTAGGTTTTTTTGAATAAGACAGTTAATTTGAGGAGGGATGTGGGTGTTTATCATAGGAAGAAAGTGAATTCAGCATCCCTAAATATCAAGCAGTGGTGCACAGAAGTACTCGATTGGCATGCCAATTAAATTGGTTAACACTAGTGGGCTCTGTGGACATAACAAGGAGCTGGGAAATAAGCAGCAGCTCTGCTTTAACTGGAGCTGAGTGTGAAGGGGCAGATTTGTTTCTACTTAACTGTGCCTTTGAAGATTTCTGTGGTGAATCCCAGGCTGCTGCTGACATACCACCACCTCTCTCTTGTGTCCTACCCCCTCATCTGTGCAATAGGCACGAGACTCATCTCTACAGAGGTTTGCAGGGAGAATCAGTGTTAAGTGGACCATGTTCTTTCCTTAGGTTGATTAAGAACAACTCTTAATTCTTCCTCATTCAGCGTCTCTCCTATAGGCTTTTTCTTGACAGAACTTTACTTCCTAAATGTAGGATGTTTGAGCTGTGATATTTGCTCTGTAAAGTTGACACAATAATCCACATGTCATAGTGACAAAGATACTTTGCGTGGCCCAACATTAGTAAGGCTCTTGAACCTTCTCCTAGTTTACTCTTCTCCTCCATCCCCCAAGTGATGTATGTCTTCAACACAAACCCTGGAAGATCACTTCAGCTCCATTTCCCTTTCCTGATGTTTCCTTGCAGTCATGTTCCATCCAGGGACCCTCAAGGTGTTTCTTGGCTGTGAATCCCACTTGTCTAGGCAGCACATACAGTGGAGCCCAATCTCTCTCCCACACTGCCATATCCTTGGAAATGCAATAAGATGGAGAAAGTAGTGTTTAGTAGCACCCTTCTGGAGATGCAGAGGGCTTGGTGGGATCACAGCCCAGAATTCAGAAGAGTTTGAAAAGCCACAGGTTGGGTGGAAGATAGGGTTAGAATGAGGGGTGTGTACTGGAGACCTGATTTCCCCCAAACCCTATGTCTAGTATAACAGACCAGAGCCCTTAAATTGTTTCCTTATAGGGATAGGTTTGGCCAGTTACAGGACTTGTGTTTTGTGAAGAGCTGCTGTGCAAGGTGGGATCCTGTTGTACCATAAAGATTTTTTCTTGTCCTTTCCCCATTAGTATCCACCTAGCCTCTCTTCAATAAAAATTTATTAAATCTGTAAGGACACCATTGAGAACAGCTCCAAATTATTTGCTACCGAGGGGCCACCGTATGAGTTTATATAGATGGGAGTGTGCAGGCCTCTCACGCCCTGCTTCTCAGAGCACCCAGCAATAACCCAGATGCTCTATAAATGCAGGAGACCCTCGCCCAGCACTTTTTTTTTTTTTTGGGAACTGGGGATTGAACTCAGGCCTTTGTGCTTGCCAGGGAAGCACTTATTCCACTGAGCCATCTCCCCGGCCCAAAATTGGCAAGTTCATTTTATTTTTTTTCCAGTACTGGAGATTGAACTCAGAACCTTGTGCTTGCCAGGCAGGTGCTTATTCTACTGAGCTACCTCCCCAGTCCTAGCCCAGCACTTTTGAGTAGGGAGATGGACTTTTGGTCCTGTTCTAGATCATTATTTCTTTCCCTGGAGACTCGCTGATTCTTGTTTTATACTCCTGCTGTAGGAGTTTCTAGGGCCTTGCACCGGTGTGTCCCCAGGTCAATTCTGGAGCTGGACCAGCAATGGAGGCAAGTACGTCGTGCAGGACCCTTCTCAACCCAGGAGACTGCTGAAAGCAGTGCTATGTTCTCACCATCATCTTCATCGATCTCCATCTCAGTAGCAACTGAAAAAGAATAGGAACAGTTGTTACATTTGGATATGTGGTACATTGATTTTGAATCTTTTAATCCTTGAGGGAATTAATTTAAAAAGTCACCTCCTCAGTAGCTGGGGGATTTAGGGTGACAACCATGTATTTTGGGGGTGAGAGGCTTCCCTAATATTCTGAAAGATGATTGCCCCCCTTTTCTTTTATTTCATCCTGACCAATACAGTTTAAGTTCTGAGAGGGTCAGATGGGTTTGTCCACTTTTATAAACTGCCCAGTGTACAGTAGATGCACAGTGACACTGAATGTGCTGAATATAGATAGCTCATTATTTTCATTCCTAATTGAAGTCATAAATATTATTTCCTTGCGTGGCAAAATTTTTTTTTGCCAGAGAACTTGACTCTGGTTCAAAGTCATACCTGAACCTTGATTACTGACACCAAACTCAAAGACAAGACCTTGGTTATTGGCCTTAATTAAAACAGGCCTAGTGGCAAAGGGGGCTGTTCTCGGCAAGGGCATATAAATTCTGCACTTCTTACCTCCTTGTGAATGAATTACTAACTTCTACATGGCGTTTAAAATCAGTATGTTATACCTTCCAAATCAGACGTCATACTGGATAGTCATGAGATTCCTTGCTCTACTTTTAGTTTTGAGGATCTTCCTGTTAAAAGACAGAAGAGGGTGGCCATTATGACTTTCGTCTTGCACTTTTGTAAGTCTTAAAATTGGGGCTTGGGATCTGTGTTTTCTCTTGGCTGGCCAGGGGAGGGAAGGCCTAAGGCAAGCCGCACTGCTCACATGGCCTGGGTGTTCCTCTGCCCTGCCGCTTCCTTTCGGGCTTTGGGAAATTCCAGTAAATCACTAGTCAGGAAAGACAGCCTCTCTCTGAATTTCCCCTCCTGTTATCGTGCAGCTAGGTCAGTTCCCTAGGATGGCTGGGATTAGGGCCAATTTAGAGCTACTTCTCCTGCTGTAGGAATCATTCATTTAAGTGTCTTCAGGGCCTTGGGTACATGCAGTGCAGGATCCATGTGATTTCCCATTCCTTTTCACCTCCTTCAACTCTATTTTCTTTCCTCCTAGTCTTAAACACATGTATGCATGTGGATACACAGGCAAAGACACACACACACACACACACACACACACACACACACACACACTGCAGTCTTCAGAAGTGAAGAGCAAAAGTCCCATGATGAACAAACAAAAGGGAGCTGCTGCACCTGCCGCCTGCTTTTGGTCTGGCCCAAGGTGTCAGGACGAGAGGCCCTGGACAGGCACTCTCTCAGTACTTCTGCAGCTCTCAGTGTGGGGCCAAGCATCTGCACAGGCAAGGGACATTCTAAGTTCAAGGAAACTCATTCTGCCACGGCATACTGATGACCCATTAGTAGTAATCTCCTTTTCTTGAAATGCTTCCCTATGATTATACTCTTCAACATCTTCATGTTGGGTGTTGGGGATCTGGGTTCTCTGTTGGCCCCCAGACTTGTTTCTCCAATTGATGGGCCTATTCTAGTCCCTCAGGATAAGCTGGAAGAGGCAATTCTCAGTTTGTGTGGTAGATGATCCAATATCTATGGAGCTAGCTATCTTCCTCACATACCATTCTTCTCTGCTTCCATAGTTCTTTGTGTGTTGCTGTCTCCAGGTCTGCATAACCCCACTACTTCCTCTGAACCTCACCAACCTGCTTCTAGCTCTGGAGAGTGTAGCATCCTCCAAACTGAACAGGCCATCCAGGTGACCCTGTAGTACAGGGTGAGTGGACCCACCCCTCGTATAATCCATTAGGTATATTTGGTTATATTTGCTTTTCTTTTATACTCTTGACTTACTGAACTTGTGGTTAAGCGAGGCACCTGAAAACAAACAGGATTTCTGAATCCTGTACATTTCTATCCTGTTGTTTTGTGGGCCCTAATCTAGATTTAATGAATCCAACCTAGATTACCAACACTTTACCTAACTAATGCTGGTCCCATGTTTCTGTCTGGAAAAATCATTCAGAATTTGATTATTGTGCTTCTAGCATCCAACAGCCCATGGTCATCTGCAAATATAAATATTCCCTCTACCTCTGCATGGAAGTCTGTCAGATGAAGGTTACATGGGCCACGCCCTGTGGCTGTGCCCTGGAAACCAGGTTGACTGTGATCCATTAGGCAGGATCTCCAGGTGGTGTTCAATCAGTCCCTGCCTCATCACTTTATATTAATGTTCACCTCAGACTGTGGTAGGTCCAGGAACATCAGGAAGCCGCTCAAATTTGGCTTATGGGATTACC